CTTTGTTCACATCCTAAATGCAACCCCATTTGGTTTCTTCCAACTGCAAAAAGTGATCTTTTATGTTAAAGTTATTAGTATGACTGACCACATTTCTCATAATCTCATTTATAATTAGCAGTCATAGCAAAACAAAATTTCACACCATTGAGGCAGCTCATGCAATGGCACTGAAACCAATCAATGTTCATCTGACTTTCACTGGGTCCAGGAAAAGATGTGCTTGATCCCTATCCCTTCTGCAAGCAGTATCAGTTCAGTATCAGAACTGTGAAACCAGTATCACACACAGAAATGGCTAATGCACTTGAGAAGGGAAGGCATAATTTCTCTGCAATATGCTTAATCTTTCTCTCTATGAAGCTTCACATTCACAAGACAGTGATACAAAGGTTTAAACGGCTCCTGGTAAAGTTAATTAAAATACAGAAATATAATTACTAATATCTGAACTATGTGGCTTCATCTGGATTGTTAATGGCATGGGCACAAGGGCAGTGAGGCACAGAAGGGAAACCGATGGCCCACAACAGATCACGGGTCACATGTGGCTCATCAAACAGTTGATGTGAGCTTAAATTTGAAGTGTGGAAAAATACTGGAGGAACTTATTAAGTTAATCAGAGAGCAGCACACAGCTGACTGAAAACTTCCTGGAACATGCCAGCAGTGCTCCACCAACCTGGGAACAGCTATCCACTCAATTTATATCAGGTAGTTGTAACAGAGCTTCCACACCTGGACTACAGAATAGGCAATGAGGAAAAAAACAGAGATGTTTTCAACCTCAACAGGTGTGACAAATGCTTTTGGAGCACATCCCAGATGTGTGACAAACTAGGGAAGAATCACTAGGTGAAAAATCTAGTGTATGACTAGAAAATAAGGACATCTAGAACACCTGAGCACCAGCCCACCCCAGATCCAGGCTGCCCAATGCAACAAGATCTTCACAAACTGGGAAAGCAATATGAAGAAAAATCTAGCTGACTGAGGTAGCTTGATTTCAGACAATGTTATCTAACCAGTTTTAAACTGAATTATTAAAGGAAAAAAAAAAAGTGGTCTAGGGAAATGGAAGAATTCTGTAGACAGCATAGAGAGTTGCACAAATTCTAGAAATCCTAGCCTTTGCCTAGTGTAGGGAAAAAGTCGGGGTGAACAGAACCAGTGAGCACCTGCTTGCCATGTCCACCAGGAGAGGGCAACTGTCTGATTTTGCAAATTAATATTGCAAAGGAAGTTGGCAAAGAAATACCAATTCCTACCCCCTTCCCTCCCAGCCAAACTAAGGACAATTACAGGTAATTGCTGAACACACATACTTTAAACCCAGGTTAAACAGATGTCTCTTAACTTGAAGTGTTTTAGTGGAAGGGTTGCTAAACCAACCATTTAGTAAGGTCCTGGTGCCTTTACGGCTGCTTCAGTTACTGAAGGTACAAATAGTGACTATTTTTCAGATCCTCTGGAGAAAGAAAATCAAGAAGTTGGACAATACAACACAGCAGCAATAAACACAGTAATTAAATTCACGATCTCCTTCAGTGACATTCACAATGACAAGGCAGCAGACTGTATGCCTGCAATGGCATCTTCCTTCTTCCATCTACACAATTACACCACGACCACAGACTCCTAATTGGCAATGACCTGTTTCTTAAATAACTAATGCAAATTTAATGGCCAAATGCATCAAAATGCATGACTTTTTCAGAATCACTGAGAAATACCATTTTGTAGATGAGAGATCAAAATCATGCTATCTACTAAACAGAAGTTTCTCTGGTAACAAAGTTAAATATTTCCAAAACAATTCTCTCTAAATATGTGTAGTACAATTTCTTGGCGGTGTTTTCAAATTAGACAAAATAAGTACCAGTGCTACAGCTGGATACTGTTGTGCACAACACAGGGGATATAATATGGAAAAATAGAGTGTGTATATCAGTAACAGTAAAATAGGAATGATACTGCTGTGATTCGTCAACCTAAGATTTCTGACTAGCATTTACAGTGGGCTTGATGCTAAAACCCTCAGACCTTTCTTTGAAAAGTGTGTCTGAAATACTCTGAAGTATGCTTTTTATAAATTGCACATGTTAAAAAACACACTGCCCGTATAAGACCTTAAGGCAGAAAACTTCCAGTTACTGTAAAATCCAGCTAACACACATAAAACCGTATCAAGAAGAACAAAAGTAGCAAAACATTTAGAAGTTTTCACTGATGCCACATTTGTGAGTGGGACATCTTAATTTTTTTTTAATAGTTTTTTTTAAAAAAATTGGTACATAAATGAGTATCACCTGCAGTGCTCCTGTTCTCTGAAGAATCAGGTTCTAGAAAGGTACCACCTGGCACCAAAAGAGCTCATGAAGCTTTGCACTGGTGTCTAAGTGGCTTGAAACATGGTAACCCAGCATGAGAACACGGCAGCTTCTGGACTATGCTCTAGTCCAGAACACAACCTCTTGTCCAGAATAATTCAGTCAATAATTCAGTCAAGTAAGTCACTAAATTTTGCATTATGTATTGCAAAAATGACCCACTTCAATGAGATTAAGAACAACTCCCTGAAATACTCCCAGAACCAAGAGAATTGGTCCAAGTGACACAATCACTCTCTCATTCTCCCTCCACCCACACTGAAGGATGTCCTTCCTTGTGGGCTAAAAATTCTGCATAGGGACCATGATCTACAGAAGATAAGAGCCAAAACACTAGGCATTGATCCAGCTTGTGGATCTAAACTAAATTCTACTGTAAGAATATAACTTCCCTCCCTAACAGGTGATACCAGGTACCTGTCCAGTAAAACAGTGAGGGTCATATTAATACTTCAGATAAACCACCCAGAGAAGCAAAGTGATCACTCTCAGATTCTCAAGACATTCAGATGGGTGAAATGTCCAAAACTAAATCTTACCAGGCTTATTATCAGAAAGCACTTCTAGACCTGAATGCAGCTGAAGGTCTTCCAAGATAAAAGTGCTTCAGCTGCTGACATATCACCTGGCAGCTGTCCATCCATCCTGTTCCTCCTCCCTTGGCAGGGAGGAACAATAGGAAAAGGAAACAACAATGCCTTTGATATAACACATCTGGAAAAATCTCCCTCTGGATACAGACTGGCATTCCAAATGACCACCCTGAATGGCAAAACCTTGCACGCTTTTGTGGGCAGAAAGATCAAAGCTGGATAAAAAAGAACAACAAAAAATGACTGTGTTTATTCAAGGTAATAGATAGTGAAAAAAGCTTCACTGGTTCACACCTTAAAAGGTGCTGGTCATCTGCTCAGACTGCCAGCCAGAGGAGGTTACTGAGAATGCAAAGCTTAAGATTTCTCTTGCTGCTGAAGTAACTAAAAATGTAAAATTATCTGACATTTCTTTAGCCAAAATCACCCCCCATTCAAGTATAACAAGTTAGCATCAAGATCCTTTCATCATCAGGCTACAAAAACTTGGGTTTGTTCCATATCCTTGTAAGGGTTAAAACCACCATAGTGTTGCCCTTACTGCTGCAAATGGCTCCCAATGGCAGATCACAGAGAGCAAAATCTGTTACAAGATAAACTATTTCTGAATAACCACTTTTTCGACAATGTAGATTTCCACGCAGAAAAACCATGGCATGTGTGAGAGAAGGGGCAGCAGATAATGAGATTTTGCTGATGTTTCATAATCAGAAGGACAGTCAGGCACAAGTGAGAGAGAGCACTTGATTCTCTTGTAAGGGCAAGATGTGATGCACAGGTTGGTCTGTCTGCTACCACTACCCTGCATCAATGCTTGTCTGTGTCCTTTTCCTGCTCTCAGTCCCTCAGGAGCTGCTCCAGTCCTATCTGTCTGGCCTGAGCAACCCAATACGTCACCCTGTCTACCAGCAACAAAAGTGCAGCATATCCTGAAATCAGGGCACGCGGTCAAACATGCCCAGTCAGGAGGCGCGCTTGTCTGAAGGGAATAGGGTTACCAGGCCACAGATTTCAGAATCTAGGTGGTAGGGATGATCCATTATTCCTCAAAGAAAGAAAAAGCAGGTGAGTATCTCTCATCACTTCCCTCTCAGCATAATGGTATCACCTTCCACCAGGCTCAGACACTGGCAGAAGCAGCGTGTAATGTATATGGCTGTTGCCAAAATACATCACAGGGCTGTACAGCAATTGTGCTTGCTGCAGCAGCCCATCTGCTCTGTTCCCTCCGTAGCACAGTAACACACATGCTATGCCCACGCTGCTGCAGAGCTTACCAGGGCATGGCAGCCCCAGCCATGCTGACAACCTCACCCTGCCCACAGAATTAAACCAGCTGAGGAATGGGCATTTCTCCTCCTTTTACAGCAAGCGGCATACATAAAAATACATTAGAAGACTGACACAGATGAAAGGAAAACCTAAAATGTGTCTATTGATGATGTGCGGCATCTATGATGTCATGCACATATAGCATTATACAGGCAATTCTGCTTAAGTGTTCATTTCCTACACAATCTGTTTAATTTAGCTGCACTGAATGACATGAATATTGTAATCTAGCATCAAGCACTGCCTCCCATTCACTCCCCACACAGCTACAAACACAGAACATTCACACAACTAGTGCTCTGGTACTGTACATGACTGAACACAAAACACATTCACGACAACCAGCAATCCTCCCCCAGCCCAGGCACACAAGCCAGCCCTTAGACTTAGCACCTACAGAACGCACACAAAGAACATACCCCACAAACAACATCTCTACCATCTCCCTCCAGTAAATCCCCTCAAGTTCAAGCAGAGGTGACGGAGAAGGCAGCACAGGCAAGCAGCAGCCCCATCCCTCAGCACCCCACCATCAGCTCCATCATGCTGACAGAATTATACATGCTACTGTGAGGAATATAAAACATCCCACCACTGCAGACAGATGTTGGCACATACACACATGCACATTCCTTCCTGCACTGCTATTTACCCCAGAAAAACACCTCCCCAAAATTTGGCTAACCTGTGTGTCAAATCCATTTTCTACCGAGCTACTCTTCCTTGCTGGGAGGCCATCTCCTGTGTTTTCTTGTCCATTGGAAGATTTGAGAGGAATCTGGCTGGAATACAATGGCTTCGTTACCTCCACCTTGCTCCCAAACTTCAGGTAACAGGGCTGTGGGATGGTCCTGGCCGTTGGGACATGAAGGATTGGAGCAGCGCTGTGTACGGGTTTAGGTAGTCCCGATTTCATTTTGGAGGCCACCAGGATGGCTGGCATTTTCTCTTTCTGCTTTCCTAACACGTTTCTGTCAGCAGCAGCAACAGCAGACAGCAGGCAGGGAGAGAGAAAATGACACGTTGGGGAAGCTGTTCTACTCTAAAGCAGCCTGGCTACTGCAGAGATCTCCAGAATCAGCTTAGATTTTAAAATCAACAATAAATCCAATTTTAAAAAAAACTTTAAAAAGGGAAAGGAAAAAAGAAAAAAAGAGAGAAAACCACACCAGTTTCAGTCTAAAATATCTCCCAGCTTTATGCCAGCTTTCCACCTGTTTCCTCTGATCTTATTTTCAGTTCTTTACTACTGTCCTCTTTCGTATTTCTGCTATGTAACTTGCTCCTTCCTTTCTCTGACTCCTGCAATTTTCTTGCCTGGAAATGAGAGACTTTCACTCCATTATCTTGTCACTGCATCTCCAGAATGAGGCAGCCTTTGGGGAAAGAAAAAAAAAAAAAAAAAAAAAGAACCTGCTGCATATGCTTCCCCTTCCGTACACACTAGAGTGAGCGAGCAGGATTTCCAGTTTAAGATGTCTTTCTTCGGTCTTAGCCAAGAAGCAGATGTAGCTCAGTGTGTTAATGACTGATGCCCTTGGATACAAGCCTTAGAGACTCAAGCCTCTTAAGCCTAAATAGCTGTGAACAGGACAACGATGCCGGAGCAGAAGGAGAAATGTCCACTGACAGCGATTTTTAAATCAAAATATGCCAGTGGCCACAAAATTTCCCGGCTCCCCCAGTGCTAAGCATAAAAACCTGGAGGGGGGTGAGGAAAAAGAAAAATTAAAAAGAAAAGCGATTCAGCTGCGAGAGGGAAGAGAAAACAGCCGGCAGCTCACGTTCCCTCCCGCAGTGGAGCGGGCTCCCGCCCGGCGCTGCTCGGCGCATCCCGGGGGGGCCGGGACCAGCCGGGCGGGAGGCGGCGGCTGCCCGACTCCGAGTGGGCAGGGCGGGCCCTGGATTGGTCCTACCCGCTCCGAGCAGGAACAAAAAAAATAAAAAAATAACCAAGAAATCGCTCCCTCTCTCCGCAGGGGGAGGAGCGGCCTCGGCTCCCGCGGCGGGTACAGGGGCCTGGAGGGATGCTCCGGGGGCGCGGCACGGAGGGAGCCGTGAACCGGTTTTTTTTGAAATTTGAAAAAAAAAAAAAAATTCAAATCAAAACACCTGGAGGTGACTCATTGTTCGTGGCTCTTCGGGAAAAACTCCCGCTGCCAGCAAAAACAGGAATTTGAATAAGCAGAGTGAGTAATCCGGCCCTATTATAGCAACACTTGGCTTTGGGGAGGCTTTCAGTGTCGCGGGTTCCTCCTCACGCTGCTCGCTGGATGCCAGGATCCATTACAACCCTCGGATCCCTCATTCCTGTTCATCCTGACACATTTCAGTGCATATATTCCTCTTCCTGCGCACACCTGCACCATCCTAGATAGTGCAAGATTATCAGTGTGCGAATCAAGGCACCAAGCGATGCCTTCAGACTGCATGGAGTGGGCTCATCACCAGGACATACAGTGCCCAGTTTTCAGCTGGTCTGTAAAGGCAAGCAAAGGCTTTGACTTAGCCCTCACTACAAGAAAGACATTGAGGGGCTGGAGTGAGTCCAGACAAGAGAATGAAGCTGGGAATGGAGCACAAGTCTGATGAGAAGCAGCTGGGGGGGGGCTCAGCATGGAGAAAATAATGCTCAGGGAGGACCCTCTGGCTCTCTGCAACTCCCTGGGAGGAGATTGTAGTCAGGTCGGAGCTGGGCTCTGCTCCCAAGCCACAAGTGACAGGAGGAGAGGAAATGGCCTCAAGTTGTGCTCAGGGAGATTCAGATTGGGTATTAGAAAAAATTCCTTCACTGGAAAGATTGCCAGGCATTGGAACAGGCTGCTCAGGGATGTGTTCACAAAACACATGGATATGGTACTTGGGGACATGGTTTAGTTGTAGTCCAGCAGTGCTGGATTAACAGTTTGATTTGATGATCTTGGAGGTCTTTTCCAACCTTAACTATTCTATGATTATAGAATAGTTATAAGGATTATAGGAGGATGCCTCAGATTAATATTCACAAAACCAACATGAGACATGGAAGGAAAAGGTGCATTTAAATCAAATCATCATCACAGTTCCAGTTAATTGCTTTATTTCCATAGTAGGGCCTCTTCCTTCAGCTCCTTATTCCCACCTCATCCACTCCCCAAATACTGAACCCCTAAATCGCTGACTGGGTGGCAAGGACAAGAGTGATCCCAGCAAGTAGAGAGTGGCTTGGTTTGGAAGGGATCTTAAAGATTAAAACTTCCAAACCCCCTGCCACGGGCAGGAACACCTTCCAGTAGTCCAGGTTGCTGAAAGCCTCATCCAACCAAGCCTTGAACACTTCAGGGATGGGGCATCCAGAGAAGCAATGAACCTACACTTGAAATATTTGAAATACATGCTGGGTAAAGCGACTCAGCAGGACAGAGGAACCCCAACCCCATTGCTCCTGCCCCATCCAGGCTGCGAGCAGTGCTTGGGGAAGGGAAGGCTCAGTCATGCTCAATCACTCATGAGAAGGGGAGCTGGGACCTGCCTATTTAACACCTAGTCTTTTGAGGAAGTTTTTAATGTGCAAACCTCAGGTTTTTAGATCTGAGACTCTTTCAGACAGAAAAATGAGGCATTTCTTAGATTGTATTATAAGTGTCTCCAGGATGAAGACAGCATTGCTGGATCTTTCTGCATATGTAATCTTCAATGACTTACCCAAGGTTACACAGTGTCTAAGTGGCAGAGCTAAAAACTTAAGTCAAAAATTGTGTTCTGCTTATTAGCAAGTACTATTCTTCCTCAGCATTGCAGTGTAAAAGGTAATTCAAGTTCCCGCGGTACACATAAAGCTCACATGTTGAGTTCTGGCTGTTGCTGGGATTTTTCAGCACATTTGCTTTCACATGTACTAGTTCTGCAGGCTGTTTTCTGGTAACTACAAAGGGGTAAATTTTATGGTAGCTGGTTTTTTTTAAGTAACTGCTTCCACCTCAGTCTCTTTATCTACCAATTCCAGATGGGAAAGCACACATCTCTCTTCATCCGTCTCACCAAGACAAAACTTCTAATGTTCTGTCATAACCATGCACAATGTCAGCTTAAACAGAGCTATATAGAACATTTCAGTACCCTGCAATTTGATAAAGAATGTAAATTTACCATCTGAGAGGACTAGTAGTCCTTGGAGCAGAAATATGTCAAATTCTCCAACACCACTTCCATCGTTCTATGCCGAGAACTCAGCCCTGATGTCTAAGAGAAGGTTGGGCTCCAGCATGGACATCCTGAAAAAGATCCAGACCTGACAACAAGGCTAATTTTAGGTCTGTAATAAAATATAGTCATATTTAAAAGCTTTATGTTCTGTTCTTCACTTAGATGTTTTATGAGGTTCAGGCCACCAATCCCTTCTGCACCCAACTTGCCAGTTTTTGTTGTTCTGTTTTCCTCCTGGAAAACTGGCTAGGGTGCAGGATACCAAAACAGTCAAAAAGTTAATCTGACCGAAGTAAAAGGATTCCTTTCATTGCTCCCTTAGCAGTTATAGAATCTGCTCCTTTGAAGATGGAGGATTGAATATTCCACAGTTTCTCTGAACACTTAAAGGAATCTTATTGATTTCTCAGTGTGTAGTCCTGCCTACTGAAGATGATTTCTTCTGAATATACTCAGTCTGTGATCCTGACAAATCAGGATTTTTTGTCAAATTTTGTCAAATCAGTGAAATGGACACATTCTACATCAAACCTTAATGTGAATTCCTGATAACACATTTGAAGACCTAGAATTACTGCTTCTATCATGGATTCATTTTGCATCTAAGAATTCCTTGTCATCTAAACCCTGGGAGAGTTTTTATGTTATACATATTTTGCTTTATATATTTAAACAGCACAGCATAATGGCATTGAAATGCAAGCTGCTGTATCCAATGGCAGTGCAGTCACACCATGAGATCATAAATTACATCACATTACAGGTTTTATCTGCAAAGACTGGCAACATCAATTTTGGTCTGTCTTTGGAAGTGATTAGTTTTTGGGTTGTCTGGATTTTTTGTTTTGTTTTGGTTTTGGGTTGTTTTTGTCGTTGTTATTGTTTAATAAATTTATTTGTATCTGTTTTTAAGGCTAGGATTTTTAAAAGAAACTACTTTGTCAGTGTCGGACATGACATGATTCACACAGATGCAGCTCAAAGTGAGATGAAAAAAGAAGAGAAGTTTATTTGTTCTTTCAGTATTTATAGGTTTTCGACAACTACCACGGATTGGATAGTCAGGTTACCACCTTCCCAGCCACACTGGCCATGAGACGTCCATCAAAAGGCATATCTTTAATGGAATGTATAAACACCTATGTTTATAGTTACTTTCCTGGGAAAGTGGCTAGAAATTATGAAAACAATATCAAAAGGCCTGATTCTCAGGGCAACACTACTTTTCTTGGATAGTCAAAAGGATCTGGGAACCTCTCTCATATCTTTTTTGAAAGACCCAACCAGTTTTCACTTCCCCGTTTTGAATCATCCAAGTTTCTGTGTCTAAGCTAGGAGTAAGTAACCTTGAAAAGGAGGCAAATTATCTAAACAAAATACAAGAGCTTCATTCATTCCCAGAAATGTTGGGTAAGCCTCTGACTAGAAGAAATTCCCTTGCAGCTTTAAGTCTGATGAGTATCTTTGCCTGAATAGCCACAACATCCCCTCCTTATCTGCCTGTAGTCCAGGGAGCATCCACCACTCCCCAAATGGGGGAATATAGAAGGAAAAATGCTATAAACAAGCACTTTACTTCCCTGTTAGGAAAAAAAAACCAAAAAACAAAAAAACAAACAAAAACCCCAAAAACAAACAAAAAACACAAAAAAACACCCCACAATGAAACCACAATAAACCCTATTGATTTGGCTTACACAGCTGATTTTGAAGCTCAGAGAGTATCACTGCTTTGGACTCAAGCTGTGGCTGCTCAGC